CTGTGCGACTGGGAAGGAGTTGAGAATAGCAAGCCGAAGCAGCAAAATTCCAATGGTCTGCAGCTGTCCCAAGATGTTCAGAGGCCAACATCTCTGGAAACATCTCTGGACAGTTTCAGGCATTCGAGCTGTCCTGCCGTGAGGTCAGTAAGGTATGGTCATAGTAAGATCTCTAAGATCTCAGCCACTAAATCTACCCTTATCTCACTAGAAGAGGTTGAGTCCATCACATCATTTTTGCATGTCATATCAACCCATGTCTCCATGTTTTGGAGGGTTGGGGACATTTGGGCAGAACTGGTGGCGACTCCTTGTTGAGGGAGATTCGAAGGGGTCTTTGACAATGAACATGAGCTGCCTGTCGCAACACAGAGGCTTGACAAGATATATAAATCTGGAGGGTTCGACGGTTCGACCGCGACCGTTGCCAAATAGACCTTGATGCTTTGAGATCCGACCCGGCCTCTCAGCGCATTTAGCTCCTGGAAGTCAGGTGCCCGTAGCGATGTCTTGAGCAAAATCTGCTGAAAAACACGTTAAGTTTCCCCAAACAGCAAGTTCTAGTAGATCCTCACCATCCAATCCCATCCCCGCAAGAAGTGGTGTCAACTCGGCTTTTACACCTCATGGCCTGCCACCTAAAAGGCCATTCCGGAACCAGGGGCGTTCGCAGGCTATGCATGTGACTTTCAGCCAGGTGGAAGGCACCAGTTCCATGACTTGAAGTTTGCCACCTTGATCCCACCAGGCTGCTTGTTGGATCTGTGGCTTTCCCGGTCCCGCACGATGGGACGTGAATCTTGCGACCAGCGGGGGCTGAAACGCTTCACCCAGGGATGTGGACTGTGAGGAAACTGACTCAATGACCCACCAGCGAACCTAAAAAAGGGACACGCCTGGCTCATCCGGCTGAGGTTCGCCTTCAAAGTCTTGACTTTCTTCAAGAAAAGGGGTTGACCCACAGGTGTCGACCATGAGCCTCATCTTGTCCTAAATCTCGGTTGTCATTTGTGGCAGCTGAGAACTGGCAGCTGATTGTCAGAGGTTACAACTGGTCCGAATCATGTGGGTTTGTCTAAAGAAACGAGCACCCCTTAATCCATTGATTAATCACCAGATATTACCAGTTTCCCCATTAAAATTGCCATAACTGTGTGTTGAATCCCGCATTGACGCAGCCAGTGGCGTTTTGCCACCAGGTGGGTGAGCTGTTCCACCAACAGTTCCCCTGCACTTCTTGAACATCACTTTGGCTCTCCGGGTCAGAAGATGGTGGATGGTCATCCAAAGGCATTTATATATATAAAAGAAATTCAACATACAACCAAATGGTGCCCCAACAACTTTTGATGGCCAACACCCCCAAGAAGATGAAACCAAAGAGAGGCTGAGCATCAGATGCTCTTCAATGCAGCTGGAAAAATGCTGCTTGAGACCAGACTTGGTCACCATGCGTAGCAGCCGCGTGGCTGGAACTCATCTTGCCAAAAGATGCAACATTTTGGATTGACCTTGCGTGACCGCTACCAACCCCGACTGTGATCCTGCTCAAAGCAAGGGACTTCCCTGGATGCCTTTGAGCACCGATAGCTCTTGATAACCTTTTCCCACCAGCCTGCCCGGAAAATGCAACTTGATTCCAACATGTTCAACAGATTCAAGATCTAGTCAGCTAAAATCAAAACCCTTAGCATCCTGGACCGCTAAGTCCACCCAAATTTAACCAACCTTTGCTGCTCCAGTTGCAGATCGTCCTTGGTCGCCCGGGGGGGCGTAATTTTGCAGCACACGCGGCGGGCGCAGAAGGCGTGCCTCGCTTAAGCCCGGCGAGATCGTCGGCGACAGGCGAAGCTGGGGTCCCGCTCTGACCCTTGAAGGTGGTGATATTCAAGATGTCTCAAACAATGCCATTTCTGCTAGGAAAATCATCGGAAACCCAAGAAAATCCCGGTTCAATCCCTTGGTTTCAGGAGGGTATGGGTATGAGACCATGGATCATCCCAGCATGCTGACCTTGGAGGGACCGACTTAGCAATTGGAACTGGGGTGTCCCTTGGAGCGATATGGATGAAATCACCTGTGAAATCATGTGAGATACATAAAAGTGAATATGTTATAACCATGAAAAATCATGTGGATATATGTAATATGTATAGGTTATTACCACCATTATCCATGTGAGATATATGAAATCATATAGAGTATGTAAAATGGTCTAACTTGGTTATGACTAGGACAACCAGCATCAATCCATATCCTGGTCTATTGTAACTGGCCTATTGGGGATATATCAGACCGGGAATATATTGAGGTATAACATGATATGACCCAGTTGATAACCATCATTCCCATAGGACTACTACACGTAAACGTCCATTCTATCCCCAGAAAATGATTGGTTTCATGAGCAATCTTGCTGGTTTCGTCATGTTCACTGAATTTTGGTGATTGGATCCCCCAAATTTTGCTGGTCTCATCATCCCCATGTGCATTGCTGGAACCATGGATTTGGGGGTATCCAGCAGGTTGCCTCTGCTTCAGTGGAGCTGTGCGCGCGGCAAACTCCAAGGGTCGAGCCTTTTGGGCCTTGGCACAGGTGGGTGACCCCAGAAGTCACATGGACCATTAACAAATAGCCCTGTTGATTGGTTGTAGTAACCCACAGTAACCCTGAAAAAAGGTAGAACAGTGGTTTATCATTAGTTTAGCATGAATTTATATGTCATTCTTTTTGCGGCTGCTACAGTATAATATGATATCATAAAGTATATTTAAACAAATACATATATATATAATACACTATTTGTGTTTATATGATATAAAATTGATATGATGATATGATATAATGTAATATAATAAAATACAATATAGTAAATTATCATATGATATAACAAATTATCATATAATATTATATTTTATAATATATAATATAATGTAGTTTAATTTAAATTAGTATATAATATAATATGATTTAATATAAATATAATATAGTATAATATAGTATAATATAATACGATATGATATATATTATAATATAATGTAATATTTCATATTATATATAATATATAATATGTAATATATGATATATAATATATAATATTTAAAACATAATATATAATATATTATATATTATAATATATAATATATAATATAAATATCATATCTAGAGGGTCACTAACCGGTTTATTGAAGTTGAGCGGCGATGGTTACATAGTTACATCCCAAAATTCACACGTATGTTTCATGGCTCCCACAAGGAACCAACTCGGGAAGGAAACTGTTTTTTTGACTATACAAGGCAGGGATATAACAACATTCCACCCAGCCAAACTTCAAGACTTTGGAAAGCATAAGATTAATGATGTATGTTTGGTTGGCTATTGATGACGAAAAGGCATGTCCAGAAAAGAATATGTGTTATTCTGCAGGGATCAAAGAGTAGCCATCTACCATTATGAAGAGACATTTTGCCCAGCGTGGAGAACCCCTTTTGTTGACGAGGCTTTATTAGTCTAAAGTCGATATGCCATGTATATTATCATATATATATACACATATCCATGTATTAATACATATGTACATATATATATACACACAATATATATATATATATGCCTGGCCTTCCAGAGCCTTGACGGTGGATCCAAGGATACAGGGCCTGGAAGACAGCAGAACACAGGGTTTTTTTTGTTGTTATTGTGGGATGAACATGTTGGTTTCCTGCATTCCAAAATGTTCAACAAAAATATTGGAATTCTTTGAATTTGTTTTCCGACTTTCTTTGAATGCTTGTTAGAGCTTATTGTGTTTCAAATGATCCGATAGTCATGGCTTATTGCTTTCAATCACACTGTTCGTCCTCACCGTTGTGTTTTGAATTATTTGTTGACGAAATCTGTTTGAATCCCCACGTGTATTTGTCAAGTCCTCACATGCTTGTTGGTTGAGGTTGTTTCCTTCCCCGTTTGAGTCGAAAAAACACATTTTTTAGACCCTTTTTAGACGGGCCATGTATCTATCATTCATGATCTCTGTATATGAGGTTTTTTGTGCTGCTGAGTTTCACTCTGTGGTGCAGCCCTCAGCTAAGAGGGCAGGGAGGGCAGTTTTCAGCTTAGGGAAATCTCAACATGGCTCCGAAATACCAATGTTCAGTGGAAAAAAAAACTATAATGCAGGAAAATTGCATAAACCTACCATTTGGGGATGGTTTATACCATCTTTTTTTGGTGATGGTGCGGATGGTTTATTATTGGGTTTACCGAGTTAATCTGTAGATGGGTATGAATGGCAAAGCTTTGATTGCCAGCCATGTCAGATTGCAAACAGTAGCAGATTTGCCTGCAAAAGTCCAGAACACTTCTGGTTGGTGGTTTTCCGTATATTTGGAATAATCATCCCAACTGACTTTCATATTTTTTAGAGGGGTTGAAACCACCAACCAGGTTTGATTGGAGTTCGGAAACACGTTTTGGAGATGTACACCTGGCCTGCAGCAAAGCCTGGGACAAGTAGGGACCATTCCTTCAGCTCTTCCCTCATCAACCTGCTCAAATCATAGATTGAAAATTGGGTACCCGTAAATCCATCGATGAATCATAAGTGTCCCCCAAAAAATCATTAAAACTGCCAGTTGGTTTTTTTCCTGCAGCATCCTCCATTCTCAAACGCGCCCATATTGGGACACACAGAAGCCACTGCTTTGGCGAAGCTCAAATGTTTTTTTTTACATGGGGCATACGCCACACCCATTGGCGCCAAATCGATTGGTTGATCATGATTTCCCAGCTAAATATAGTTTTTTTATGATATCAAATGGCACAAATTAATTACCCTCTGGTAAACTGACATAACTATGGAAAATCACCATTTTTAATGGGAAAACTCACTGTAAATGGCCATTTTCAATAGCTATGTTAGTTTACCAGAGGGTATGACATCCTATTTCAGACAAAGCCTTCTTTTCACCCCTTGCATCTTTCCCTGCGCTTCAGGACACAATGGACGTCTTCATCTCAGGTGGATTCATGGCGTTGAACCAGATGATTTGGCCGCTCCCCTTGCAGGATCCCACTTGGACGATGAAAAAATCCCCAGAAACCATGCTTTAGGAGGGGATTTACACCTACGGGTTGGTGGTTTGGAACATGAATTTTATGATTTTCCATATATTGGGAATGTCATCATCCCAACTGACGAAGTCCATCATTTTTCAGAGGGGTAGGTATACCACCAACCAGCATATTTTTTGGGACCATAGAATGGGGTTGTTTAAAAAAAGGGGGATGGGATTGCTGAGCTGCGCAAGATATGAGCAATTCATAGCAATACTATACCTTTTCTTCGATCATGATAGTGGATCGACGTGCGGTGGATGGGTACTATTGGGGGAGCCCGCGACATGCACCAAATCACGTGTTGTTCTTGGAAAGCAGCCAATTGAACTGGCCCGAAATCAGTGTTTTTCCTGGTTCCAAATCAACTTTTTCCCAAGGCAAAATCAGAATCTTAGACACCCCAAATCAAGGTGTCCAACCAAAAATTGGGACTTTCCCAATCAAAAAATCGAGAATTCCCATATTCTCGGGGTGTTTTCTACCTCCAGCCGCAACAGGAGCCCCCGGTTTTGTTGGGCGGCTGGAGTCTTGGTGCTCGACCAGCCAGGCAGGAAAGCCAGGTTAGAAGCCAGTTGTAGATGAGAAAAACCCCAGATACATGTTGCTTAATGGAATAACTCAATCTTACACTGTCAAACTGGGGACTTCTCCAACAAAAATTGACACACATATATATATATATATAATACTATATATATATATATATTTATGTATGTACATTATACTTTATATATTATATATTAACGGTGATAAAATGGACCCATGTACCAATTCAGAGTTGATGGTTTCAAAGATATTTGTTTAACATGTTTGACCCTTGAAGTAGCTTGATGATCTCCAATGTGGGTTTCTCTGATTTGATTTGATGTTTCTCTGATGTGATGTTTGGTGATGGTGTTTACATGTGCTTAGCCATTTAGAAGCAACGTGGGTTGATAGGTGTTCCCCTATCGTTGATCTCATTTTTCAGGTTTCTGCGACGCAAAGAAGTTGGATTTGAGATGATTTCATTGATTTACCCACATGATCCGATCAATTGGATTGAAATTGATTCCAGAGCTTCAAGAGGTTCAAGTTCACTAAGACAAATGGACCTATTGTATTCAAGTACATTTAGATGGAAATGGTAGAGCTCAAAGATGAAGTTCATGAGGATTGAGAATTCACCGATACTGCAACCTACTCCAACCAACAAAAACGGCAGACCTCACTAATAAAAGAAAAAAAGGAATGAAACTCACAAAAAATGGGGGTTCAATGCATTGTGGAAGAAATTCTGTGCTTGGAATGTCAGTTTCCCTGTGGGAAACCCGGTCGATTTTTCCATGGCAAGTCCCCGTCACCGCGAGGCATTTGGCCGAAGCACTTGAAAGAGCCGGATGTCTGGCGCGTGGCTTAGTGCTGGGATGTGATGGACCCTGACCCAGTGAGAGGCTCAAAATGTTGATGGATTTCGGTTTCAATTGAACCTGAGGCTGCTTAAGAATTGAAGCATCCACTTTGGAGATTGTAGATTGACCATGAAGTATCATGAGGTTGGGTTCATTGCTTCAGAGAATATCTGGAAGGATTTGGGGACTTGGGGGTGGAAAAGGCATCATCAACGTCAACGTGTGGAGCAATGGGTTCCCCTCCCTTGCAGAAAAAAATATGGGATAGTCCCTGCACTTGGTAGAACCCCATGTCTTCCATGGCGATTCAAACTATGTAACATCTCCTCACTTATGTTTGCGATCATACTGCAATTTCGTCACCAGCTGCAAATGATCCATGAACATCAAACATATCCGATGTTTCATGAGTTTTCCAGATGTTTCCAGTGATTCTGTGGATGTTATCCCGCTTACCCTACAGTAAAATATAATAATAATTATTATATATATATTATATAATTATATATATATGGAACATCCACATCATGTCTCATTTATTTGGGTTTCCCATGGTTTCCCGTATATCTATATGAGCTAGAGAAGACACACCTAAACAATATTAAGCAATAAGATAGAGCCTGCCTCATTGAACATCCAGCAACATCCACCATGTTTCATTTTGGTTTTTTCTTATATATCTAAGTAAGTTTACCCCATGGGTATTCCGCATGGCTTTCCCACGGCTTTCTCGTGGCCGAGCTTCGCGGTCTCTTCACCTTGGACGAGCGCCTCATCGCCGAGCGCGGAGGAAACTCCTCGACGCCGTCGATTGGGTCGGAGCTCAGTGCCTTCCACGTGGCGTTGAGAGGTGCCCCAGGGGTGGTTTGAAGGAGAAAAAGGTGGGAAAAGAAGGTCCAACCGGAATGACTGAAATACATTTAAATAGCCACTAAATCCTTGGAATATATGAATATAATTGAGTATATAATTATATAATATAATATATAGTTATATATCCATATTAGAGCAGCGTTTTTATTGAATTATGGCTTTTAGAGCTCAAAGGAACTCGACATATGGTCTGGAAGGCATTTGTGTAACATGTGTCAATCCCTCCGGCCCCCAACAATCTTTTTGGGGGGATTGGCCGGTGAAATGTAACAGAAAGCCCGTATGTGTCATATTGAAATCCTTTGTTTCCCTTGGACATGTCACCTTAAATCCTTCAATGTTGGTGGCACATAATTTGACGTAGTGAAATATAGTGAGATCATTTCTGATCCCCGATGGTTGCCGCCGGCCCTCCTCCAAGCCTGTGCCACTTGTAACAAACATCTCAGGTGAGGCAGGCAGTCGCTTTCGCTTGCGTGCACGCAGATCCTTGGACTTTGATGTGTGTGGGCAGTTGAACTAACATCCAGGGAGAAGTCAACCAACATATTTTGGCTTAAGCAGCAAGAAAGGATTAAACTTGCCCAACCAACAAAAATGACTTGACCAAGATTTTTTGGCCCAACCGACTACATGAGGTGATAGGAAGCTACCACACAGAGATGAACACACTACATTCATACATATGCATGCATGCATACATGCATGCATGCATGTATACATACATACATACATACATACGTACATACATACATACATACATACATACATAAATACATGTGTACATTATGTTTTAATATCCAAAAAGAAGGGGATCAGTGAATATGTGAAGCCCTGAAGCCACCATTAAAATAATCATGGAGAGACTCAACGTCGAATCCAGTAAACAGAAAAGATCATGAACGCATTCTGGGGCAGGCTTTATTTTTGCGGTCCTCTTTTTGGGCCCCATCCTACTTGGAAGCGATGACTGCATGCACTCGGAGATGGGGTGGAGCCAAGGATATCAATTCAACTGTCCACGATTCCAAGAACTTCAAATTGGGGGTGCCGGACCCAGTGTTGTCCAGTGGGCAGGCTGGGTTTCGCAATTGGAAGGTGCACACCAACTCCCCGTCCATTTTGTGTGACATTAAGCAGAAGAGAGTACAGGAGCGGAATTACCCAGCATCAGTTGGATACACGCCCACACAGTACCAACTATTACCAAGCTATGAGATGGATGGTTTTCCCGTACATTACACGCTTCTTACCAGGCGCAAGCTTTCCGGCCTTGGGAAGTCCAGCCTGGTCAGAATTTCCTGCTTTAGTGAGTTTTCACAGTTCCCCCAAATGGCAATTTCATGGGGAATTTCCGTGGTTTTAATCCATTGGAACTCTATGGAACTCGGGGTATCTCATTCACTTTAAATGTTTTGTTTCAAGAGATGGTTGTGCCACTGGAATGCAGGTGTCGACTACTTGCGCAGCTCTGCCAGTGATGTTCTCCTTCAACGAGCAGCAGCATTGACAGCTGAGGCCTTTCCTTGACCATCCAAGTCCAAACCCCTCATCGTTCTATACATTCTATACCCTCTGATTTTTCTGTGGACTATAGCAACATGCTAGCTACATTTACCCTGAACTTCTGAGTTCTCGTTTAACTGGCACCTTTGCAAAGTGCTCATTTTCCAAGGCTTTTTCGCAAAGTACTTTCAAAACTTGTTGATTGATCATGCCTCCATTCCCTGTGCATCATTAGATGGCTTACGTGGAAAAGGCTCAAGATGCTCACTAATGGTCACCTGGAAAAATATTGCTAATCAGCATATTATCAAACCATGCATCCATGATCACTTTTTTTGGGGGGAGCATCAGCGATTGATTTCACGCTTCAATGAGAATCGAATGGTGTTAACAAAAAAGCGTGATAAGTGCGTGAAAAACTCTGTTTTGGCGTGCAAATCAGTGAAACACCCGTGATTTTATGCTCACTTCCAAACTTCCAAGTGCGTGAAAATTGCAAGATTTCCTCATGCAACTCGCAGCCCATTCGCTCATAGCTCTCTAGTGCCACACCCCTTTACGGTACCGGTAATAGAACATGTGGTTGAAGAGTCCCTTGCGTAAAGCCCTCTGCTGAAGCGGAACATGAGGGTAATGGCAGGGTTCTTGTTAATCATCTACAGAGCTATGAGGTGATTTGTCTTCAAGTCAAGATGGCACTTTACAGTGACGCAGGCACTTTGTTCGAAAGTATATACTCGTTTCCCGTGGAAGGTCAGGGTTTATCCAAGTAGATTTCAATTTTATCCGAAAGCTACAGCCCGTTCCTCCTCAATACCAGTGCTACCTGGCCTGGTTTGGGAGAGTTACGCCCAGACATTGTAGGGTCGCACACAAGTACAGCCTGCCAGCCAATGATTCATTAAATATTTGAAATGGGCTATTTTGAAGGGAACATTGCCGCGTTGTGACGAGGTCTGCCAGCTGCTCCGCTGTGGCGAGGGACGGCATTTCGACCTGGGAGTTAGCCATTCCTGGGACATCAGTCAGCAGCTTCGCGGGCTGCCAGGTGGGCCGTGGTCGGCCAGTTTGGGCGTTGACATCAAATGAATACAGTAACCATCCCTAAGTCATCACAAAATGGATGGTAAATGATGGTATAAATAAACTATCCCCAAAGAGTAGGTTTCATGATTGGGTTGCCCACATTAATTAGACTATAGTAGATGTACTGGGTTTCACGGTTTACTGATGTGTTTTAATGTGTGCTTAATTCTTTTTTGCAAAATAAATCGTATTAGTTTGAAGTGTTCGAGCCATCGAAAATAGTAGGGAAAGCACGATTCTTGCGTGCGCACATCAGGTTAAATGAACTAGCCTTTATGGTCAATCGTGGTCCATATCTCCATGTAAGTTGCTTGAAGTCATGTTTTTGTTGGTTTCTTCTCCCTACTAAATCGAGGCTTTTTGGATGGTATTGACAACTTTCTTCTCAGTCATATCTACAGAATGTGTATAGATGCATATGATTTTTCATATATACATATATATATATGAATATACAATACACATAGCATATCTATTCATACAGAGACGCACTAGAACGATATCAGAAACAAAAGCAAGACTGGTAACCATTACACTAATAATGTTTGTTCTTCATGAGTACAAGTACATATACATATATACCAACTATGTTTTGTTTGCCATTGCTAAATGACCCATTTGTCGATGATTTGCCCTTGTTTACCTAATAAAAATGATGTTTTACTGTTATCCATATCTATATAAAACTATACAAGATACACGTCTATTTGCATCTAATCTATCTATCTTTCTATTTGTCTATCTTATTATCTATCTACCTATGTATCTGTGATTATCTATTTATCTACCTACCTACCTATCTATCTATCTATCCATCCATCCATCTATCTACCTATCCATCCATCCATCTATCTACCTATCTACCTATCTACCTATCTACCTATCTACCTATCTATCTATCTACCTACCTACCTATCCATCTATGCATCTATCCATCTATCCATCTATCCATCTATAAATAAATAAATATATATATATATATTATATATATATTACAATCCCTAGAATGGTTTGACCCCTCCTCCCTGCAAAACGCGCTCGCCCAGTCTCCAGGTTGGCGCGAGCGTCCCGTGTCGCCAAGTTCGCCTGGAAGACGATGCCTCGCAAGGGCGTGGTGACCGATGGTGGTTTGGGGTCGGCCGGTGGCTGCTGAATCGCAGGAAACATGTGGATCCATGTGCAGGAAACATAGGGAAAATATGAACCACTTTCTGGAAAACATATGGGAAAAATATGGAAAAACGATGATGATGATGATGATGATGATGATGGTGATGATGATGATGATGAAGATGAAGATGAACAATTGTTTATTTGGTGGTTTCGAGTATGTTTCTTTTCAACATCGTTCAACCAAAAAATGTGGTGATGATCCACATTGACAGGCATATTCCCCTTTGGTCAATAGTGGGTCATAGTCATAGCCTATGGTAAATTTGGGGATATTCTAAGCAAACAACGACATATCTATCAACCAACCAGTGTTTGATGGGATGGAAGAAGGTATTTTTTTCAAGGCTCAAATCACTTGGAATTGCCTAATGTTTTTCTTGTATGTTAAGGTTTGGATCATTCAATTCAGGTGGTTTTTATTAGCATCAATAAGTTGTTTTATTGCCAACCAGTCATTGCAATTGCCTTGGATGATCCTTGAAGGTTCAGCCAATTTTTCAGGCGCTGTGGAAAGTTCACTGATCTATGGAATGGACAGTTAGCCTAACTGGAATTTCAGATCCTCACGTGAGAAATTCAAGATATATCTGGTTGGTGGTAAATAGTATATAACCATAGTCATGACCATAACTGGACCAGAACTGGATTGGTGGTTTGGAACCATGGAATTTTATGATTTTCCATATATATTGGGAATGTCATCATCCCAACTGACGAGCTCATATTTTTCAGAGGGGTAGGTATACCACCAACCAGTATATTGTATCCAATTTTGACCAAAGAAAAATGACCAGGTAAATTGGGGCTTCATAGTTCCCATTGGCATTCCCTTTCTTTTTCGTTACTGCTGGCACACAACTGGGATTTCAAAAAAATATTTCAGCTACTAGAACGACTTCACCGCAACGTCACTGGAATAATGGTCCTGCCCAACATTTCAGGTTGGTGAATTTTGCTGTGTATTTTTTTCCCAGAACAACGGTTATACCCCCAATAATTTGGTATCGGTATCCCCCAATATACCCAAAACATGCCAATAAAGATAATAAAGACTCCCAGTTGGCAGGTTATACACCCTTCAGCAACCATGAACTATAAAGATATATCTACCATAACTAGGGTTGACCCTATTTGTTGAGATATCTTGAAGTTATAAAGCTACTTGGCAAACTATGGGGCACCACCACCTTATTCCCACCGCAGACCGAGAACACGCCTGAGCACTGAACGGCCGATCCAACGGCAGCTGCAACGGTTAAACGGCCAAGCGAATGGCCGGACGAACGGACATTATGCGTGCCATGTGAATGGAGAGAAGAATGGAAAAAGGTGAGTGAACCATGAAACATTGGGGATTCCATGGGATATTCGTGGGGATATTTCATGGAATGTGTTCACCTATGTCCAATCCGTTCCAATCCAATTTTCCTTTTTTGTTCCTAAATGGAAGTATATCATGTTCCTTGGCTTACTAGCATTTATCAGAATATAACATTGGAATGCAGTGGGGAAATATCATGGGGATATGATGCACCAGTGATTCTTGGGATTTCTTGGGTCAGGAAAATGGTATGGTCCCATCACATCCCCAAGATTTCAAATTTAGTAGGAACATCATGATGAGATGGTAAGATCCCATAAAACCCACAAATTTACTAGGAACCCCCAATGGTATGATCCCCATTCTTGATTTCATCAACCAGTGATTCTTGGGCCTGGATTTTGGGGGTTCCCCCGGTTCCTGTTGAGAAGAAAAAAGGGTTGGAACTCAGGGACTCTGAGGAACTGACGAGATGGTTGATGAAACGTTCTGAAAACGGAGCGGCAACTACCTTAAATGCATCCAAATGCGTGAAACCGTGGTTTATTGTGGTACACTGTACATAAAAACCATCCCATTGACCAAGCATTTGGGCTTTGTAGCACATCATCCCAGGGATATATTTTTCCCCAATAAACCTCTATGGGGGATGGTGGCATTGGATGAATCCCACAGTAGCGTATGAAAATTCCCTCCCATAAAAAGGCTTGTGACCGCTTTATATTGGAACATCGAAAGCTGTGTTTCCTGAATTCTTTGACACATCTCCGACCGGAACGCTGGACTGAAGTGACTGCGTGTCCTTGGACGCTGGATTTCTCAGATACATCGAAGCAGGATTCCAGGACAGTCAGCTTATTGGTGGTGCCAAAGTGTAGCTTCGATCCAGGGTTCATCAGTATTTTCCAAAACATGTACACATCCTCGAAATCAAACATAGCAAGTGGAAATCCCTCAAAGGATGAGTTTTTTCCCAGCTATAAACTTTGTATAACTTTGTAGAGGATTCTCCAGCCACATTTGATGACACCAGACTGTGTGGGTCTGTCGCTTCCCCCCCGGCCAAAGATGCCGGACTCTGCGACGACATTCCGCGACATGGTCCACCATGTTTGCGCCACAGAGACATTTTGGCGGTGACGATCCACCACGCTGTGTGCGAAGAGGTTGGGGAATTCTCAGCATGGGGATGCAACGAGATTTCATGCAATGGTTGAGGTAGCCTTTGGCAATCAAACGTTTTTGGCTGGGAATCACCTACAAATGGAGGTTTATAGCGCGGGTAAAATCATCTATAGCATATAGATGGCGGATTTTCCATTACCGTTTTTTCTTACTGTAGGTTATCAGTGGGGATCGTCCTTCCCATGAGATTTTGGGTTTGACCTCGACCTTAGATGGATTGAACTTGGAGTCCTCAATGCTTTAGTGATGAACTTAATCAATTATATTCGATATTGGGGAATCAGTTCTCAACGATCCAACTTTGAACTTCATCATTGACTTCACCAAGTTCTTGGCACTCAACGTCTACACTATATAAAGAATTATATATATTATATATATATATGTGTGTGTACCTCTTGTGTATACATAGACATCTATATCATTCTTTAATGTTCTTTATATATTTACACATATACACAATGAAATTTGTAGTCAGTGTACGTCACCATTGCAGGATCTCATCGAGGATGTGTGACTCCATTCATGGCATCTCAGCGGGAAAGCCTCTGCGTGGACTGGGGGTCATATTCACTTGATTTGTTACTTTTATATACTTATATCACTATATATATATGTATATGTATAAATATGTGTATATATATACGTATGTTTGTGAAACATTATACGTATATAAGCCAATACTTTGGCTGACGAATGATTCATTGATGATATTGATGTTTGAGTGAACATGGTGATCATGTTGCAAGAAATCATCCACTAACAATCAACACCCATGCGGAAATTCTGGTTTACTATTGGATCCGTTTTTTTCGAGGTCCTATGATGTCCTATGCATCGTTTTTTCAATGGTAGCATTATATGTGATACAATCTTTATTTGTTAGTTTACGTTAATTTTACATATGATATCACATAATATTATTGTATTAGACATTGGTGGGATGTGATTATGCGGATGGTTGAAATCTATTGAAATGCACATCAAGCACTTTGGACAGATCAGATCTTTCAAACAGGTTCTCTGGCCACTGCTCACGTTGGAATTGGAAGTCCTGCAACTGCCTACATCATTATTGCGACAGTCCTCCATTTTTGGTATTCAGACCCCTGAGTGTTTTTCTCAGTCTCCCAAAAATGAGGGCATTGGGTTTTCCTAGTCAAAATATGTCAAAGGTGGGTGGTTTTGGATGATTTTTTGGGGTCCATCATATTTGGGCATCTTATATTTCTATGCATGTTGGGCAAACACCTGACATGAATGGAATTGAAAGATCTAAATCCATCTAATTCCTGGGATTTCTGTTGAAGCTGGGCAAAGATTTCAGGAAACTACCCATTTTTGGCCGCTAAGGTGCCCATGATGGGCAGCGTCGCGTCCTATGGCTTGTAGCTTGTCGGGCCAGCTGGACCAGAAATAGAAAAGTGAAAGATGATAACATTTTAGACAATTTGAAAAGGAAAGGAGACTTGACATAGGGAAAAAACGTACAATAAAGTCAATATCGTATATATATATATATACGTATATATATATATATATATATACGTATATATGTATATATACATGTAAATCAATTTAAATAACATTGTTCTATCATATTATGGTATGACATTGCAAGACATGCAAAACAATCCACACAAATGTCTCATCTTACGTTTTGCTGTATTTCCAGAAACGTGGTAAAATGGGGCCCTCGTGGCGTGACTGTCTTTTTTGTTAGGTGTCATATGATTCAAACCAAGAACCATGGCTGGTCAATGCCAGGTCGACCGTAAACAAAATTAATTACTGGAAATAACCATATAATCACATGAAACCCCATGAAATATGCGCTACTGTAATGGTCTGATATGGTCTGATTCGTTGCAACTTACTGGCTCTTAGGTAGTCCCTCAATGGTTTTCCATCCGTGACGCAACGCTGAGGCATGGCCATGTTGCCGTGGTCACCGGAGGATCGCGTGGTTTGGGCAAAGGGATCGCCCTGGAGTTGGCATCGGCAGGCGCGGAACCCATCTCCAAGAAACAACATTTGTTTTTTCGAGCGGGATATTTCTAGTACAATAATAATGGTATATATAAATATGAACAAAAATACTACAACAATCAATTCAGGGAAGCCACATGGCACAGCTTCCCTATGGATCCAAGTACGTTCTAAACTAAGTATGTGTTTTGGTTTTATTTGTTGGGGTCAAATAGCAGTTCACGAGGTGTTTGGAGACCGTTTATGATGCATCCATAAGTCACAGACATGGATATGGTTGATACAGATATGATATGGAAAATTAAACCCTTGATATGTTATGATGCAAAATCATGTCTTGGTGAATTTGAATTCTTCAGAAATCCCAAAAAGGGGACAGTCAATTCAATTGGTCCATCTCATGTTTGTGAAGTTTGCCAACAAAAATTTATGACTCCGCTCCGCGGATCTGCAGGTTGCATTGTGTACATCACAGGTCGCTCCAGCGCGACCAAGCGTACCGAGGCATCGGTTTTTTTTCGTCATGGGGGGTACCCCAATAGGATGGTTTGTTTCAAAATTTGGATGATTTGGGGGTACCCCTAATTTAAGAAACCCTCATAAATATGCATTTGGTTACATAAACATAAACCATTTACAGGGGATGGTCATCGCCAATCCGAGAAGAAGCAGCACCACGGGCATGGCTTGGCTCTGGGAGCTTCTCTGAGCTAGAAAAACATGGGAGTTCGATATTAATCCATGGTTTCCGGGGGGTATCCCAAATAGATGATGATGATCCCTTAAATCAACGCTTGGGGCAGCAACCAGCTTGCAATGTTCTTCCCGCCACAGCTGTGCCTGATTTGAATTGGATGTGATTGCAACAGGGTGCCTCTACCATTGCTCCAGGGATATATCCCCGTATGTTTTTCATCTTTTTCCTCAAAAATGAACAGGATAGAGTGCGCTGAAAAACGATTGTTTGGGTTTCTTGTTGTGATCCACATCTACATTAATATGCCAAAGTTCCCTTTCAAAGTCTATTGTTGATTAATTAATTACATCTGTTGGCTAAATCACCATGTTTGTTGATTAGATCACCTTTCTTGTTGGTTAAATCATAAAATCACCGTTTTTGTTCGTGAAGCGACATTTTTGGTCGGTTCAATCCCAACTACTGTTGGTCAAATCCGCATTTGGTGTTCTCCCCCATCATTGCTTCTTAAATCTCTGAATCCCTGGATCTCCCTGGTTAAATGCTACCCCCATTATTGTTACCCAACTATTGTTGGATAAATCGGAACGACTTTGTTGGTTAAAATCCCCATTCTCGCAGGTTCAATCCCTGATTTACTGACTAAGTAGCAGCTTGTCCCGCTGCTACCAGTCTCGTAGGTGCTCCTATCGGGTTCTGTGGACGAGACGGCCGCACAAGCTTCCCGCAAGGGCGGAGCAGGCGCAAAAAAGTCATGCTGAACGGGGAAAATGTCGGAATCCAGCAACAAAATAGGGATGTTCTTAGCCAGATGAGTTGCACCAGGTTTCAGGCACTTCGTATGGTTTGCAGTTGCCACTTGCAAGGAGACAATCCGACCGGAAGAGACCCCTAGTGATAAGATGGTTTATATATATACATAATATAGTTATAGTGTGTAGCCCCATCTAACTCACTTAGATATATTAACATATATATCAACAGAAACCTATCGAACCCTGAAGGCCAGCGGGCATCGTCCTGCAGTTGCGATGTCGGGCGCAATTGTGTGTCAGGTATCGCTGCCTATGTGGATCACACGTTGGATGGTGAAGTGCGAAAGTCAGATCCTCATTGGTTTTGTTTGGAAGGCGCGATGGGGGATGCATATCTGGTAATTATAGGTATAGATCGTATATAGATATATACCTGTTGGACAGATATTTTTTTGATCACTCACTCACTGAGCCAACATCACCTTGGTTCTCCAGAGACTCCAGAGACATTGCATTTCCAAGTCCGTAGTTGAAAGGATATCAGGGCGAGATCATGGAGTGCCAATCAATGCTTTTACAGTCAAGCGCAACATGTTGGATTCCCTAAGTTTTGTTTTTATATATGAAACTCCGATTTCAGGGTTTCTCATCTCACTTGCCTAACTGTGAAATTGCAGTTTGAATCACTATGGCAACATGTTTGCTGGTTACCCTCTGGTAAACTAACATAACTATTGAAAATGGCCATTTATAGTGGATTTTCACATGAAAAATGGTGATTTTCCATAGCTATGCTAGTTTACCAGAGGGTAAATCCCAATCTTTGGGTTTAGTGAAACCGTACCGAATCTCATTTTCCACCTGTTTCCTGGGGTCCTGGGGTCCTGGGGTCCTGGGGTCCTGGGGTCCTGGGGTCCTGGCTGAGGTTCGTCGATCTCTTGACGGAGCACCATGCAGACGGTTTGGACTTCTTGGTTGGAAGCTGATGGACTGGTTGGAAGCGGGATCCGGAAATTTGGATGAACATGGATGGATTTTTAGTATGAATCTCTGATATATTGTTTTACAATATATATATTATATATACATATGTATATATATATATATGTATGTATACATATATGTACATATATATATATATATCATGATAGGTTTGCAGTATACAGTAATAAGTTGAATTGTTGGTGTGTTTGTATTTTTATTGTACAGTACATAATTTACGATTTTGCCTTGAGTTTTTGATGGGCGGTTTGTCATAAACTTTCCGCCCCGGCTCATATATCGTAAATTCGATTTATTTTAGGGCTATGGGTCGAAACATGTTGAAACCACCAACAAGTCTTTTTTTTTGGGTGTTTATGTTTCATTTTTTCCAGCTGCATCCTCAATCCTGGATATATTGGATGACGTATCGTTTTTTCGCCTTGACTCCGAGGTGAATAACGCCTTCTTCATGCCGAAACCGGATGGTCTCTTTTTCGCTACACCCCTGTGGCAGCAACCCTGCAGGCACCAAGACGCCAGTGCTGATGTTTTTTTCATCGGATGGTTCCCACAATCATGTTTGAAGTACGAATATGTACAACAAACATCATCAAACCAGCATGGTTTCTTCAGGACCGTCCAAGGTGTTGCTTCCCCTTTTTTTCCGTGGTATTCTTGTGGTTCAAGTTGCAAAAGAGGAGTTTGGACCGGACCTAGCGTCCAACGCTATCTCTCTCTCTCTCTCTCTCGTTGCAGACAGGTACCATGTGTTTGAAGAATATTGATTCTTGAGATCGTTCAGAGCCAGCAGATGCTGGTTTTCCGAAGATACATAGGATTATTGCAAAGAAGATGATGACGAATAAGAAGATGAAGGTTGACAGTGCTGATTCTGATTGTAATTGTTGACCATTCTGATGATGCGTTCCGTGATGCTCTCCTTTATCAGAGAGATGCCCTTCAAGGCAGAAAACCCCTTAGGACCTGGTCATCCGGAAGCACCCACCAAAGAAAAGTAGGAGATCAACTGGGACCATCAATTTGTGAAGATGTTAAGATTAAGCTCTTTTGCCAAGTGTGGATGTTCTTTTACGTATATATTGTGTGTTCACTGCGAGTACACAAGGGCGGCTTTCGGCTAGGTTTTTTTTGGGACTCTGCGGCGTGTCCACAAAATGTTTTTTTTCATTCTTTTTCATTCCAACCATTTCCAAGCTGTGGTTCCAATATGTTCCAGTGCTAGACAGTCGCCATCAAGACACTAGGGCTTCGCTGTTCTATCATTTTGGTGGCTCATGTATTTAGGTCAAAGTCCGAAAATAGGGTACCCCCAAAAAAATCCATGATGTTTGGAGGGTACACACCATGTTTGTTATTGTTGGTTTTACTTGTATGTGGTTATATATCCCACTATACCGCCATGATATCCGCATGGAACAGGCCAAAAAAAACCTAACTTTTATTGTTTGATGTGTTTGGAAGGCAAGCAGGTGGGTTTCCGCGGCCATATCACCAGAGTGAGAATTATATAACCGGAACGATTGCTGATTTCACATCGTGCAGGTTGCACTACGCATCAAGTAGTTTGAAAAGCTGCCCACATGGTGGGTTGAAGCTGGACCCTGGTTGTGTCTACGTGAATGATTTCAGTACATGTTATATAGTTGCTTTTTCTATTATATGCAGTATACATGCGTTCGGTATAAATATGGAGAATTGAAATGCTCGGCATGTTTTGTTGGAGGGTATCTAAAATTGACCACGGGCATGAATGAAAATGCGCCAAAGCTGCAGGCTCTTTGATGAGCAGTTCTGTATTGGAGCTCGAAATCATGTCGTTCTCACGCTGTCTCTCAGCCGCAAAGGGAAACAGGGCGAGAGGTGGGTAACAAGATAGCAGGTGAATCCCTGCCGTTTTAAGCTTTAACTTGTTGCTTAAGCAGCATGAGACAAAAAGGACAGGGGTAAAGCAATTTATTCTGCTGAAGAATGGGATTTCCTATGTTTTTTCTTGCAGTCCTGGTTTTCCTTGCCATGCAGTTTCTAACTTCGAGGCAATCCCCTCAAATCTGCTAGCTTGCGGCTTGGCCCAATCCATGGCTTGCAGTTTGGTTGTCATATTTCATCCCCTACCACCATCCAGATTTGGGGATCCAAAGATCATCATTGACTCTACTGTTTTTGTCGTTCCTAGGTGTTCAAGTAAAGCCATGTTGATGATTAGTTCGGGGTTATATACTACCCAAATATGAACCATTTTACTAGAATGGGGATCCTCCACCAGTAGATTTTTTTTTTTCAGGTCCTGCAGGCAACTCCTTGAGAAGGCGCAGGGGACCGTGATCAGTGTAACTTGCTTCAGGTCGGACTGGTGATGTGGGATGGTGACCAAGAATGATATTTGGAAATCCCGAAATTTTGGCGACCCAAGAAATTGGTTGAAAGCATGCGAACACCTGTATGGTATGCCAAAATGTTTAAGAATGTTTGGATGAATAGATATGAATAGCCATAACCAGCTATGCCGACATGAACTAGAATTGTATCAGGCTGAGGTTATCCACAGCCATGTGATGAGACTTGCATTAAGCTTTGCCGTAAAACCTCTGGAGTCCTGAGAGCACTGAATGAATAAAAAAACTCAAGTCAAGATAAACATAGGAAATCTTTGGATGATCTTGGATGGTTACTTTAATTCTTACTCTAGTCTTTTGCCATAAACGGAGCAATAAACTTGATACCCACTTCTAATTTTACCTTTTGCATCCTTTTGTGAGTGTATCTCAAAATTCTTGTGAACAGTGAGACCGGAAACCCGTTTGCATGACTGTTTATCACCAATGATTTCCTCCCGCAAAATGAACTTGACTTTTTGGACACTAGAAGCTGATGCTGCTAGTTGCTGTTAAACATTAAAACCACCCCAGAATTTGGATGAATTTGGTAAAAGAATAAAGTGGTACACTTAATCTGTTCTTTTTTTGGGGAGGATTGCTATAAACTGAACATATACAAAGATATATAAAGCGGAATCCTCCATGAAAGTCATCTGGCATATTGAATATCTCATAAACTTTAGGAAATGACTCAAGAAAGGAGATGGCGGATCCCCAATAGCTGGATGGTTTATACTGGAAAATCCATATAAATGAATGATTTATATAGGTGTACCCGCATTTGAGGAAACCTCGAAATAGCCATTTTAATTGGGAAAATGGATTATTAAGTCTAAAAGGTGTGGCTTTTGACTTAATTGTTCAGAGAAATCCACAATTTTGGGCAACTGTTCAGTGTTCAAGAATCCAATTTCCAGGGTCAATAGATATGTTAAGACTGCCATCCCCATGGTGTTCCAATTTGTTCATCTGGCCAAAGCGGTGGAATTGACAAACTGATCTGAGGTGAGTTCTGCTGGTTCCCAAGGCAACACCGAGGTTGGACTACAGCATGGGCAATTGGAGAAAATCTTACTATTACTATTTGATACGAATTGGCTCTTCTTCAAGATGCTGTTCAATATAGAAACCAATGATGTACATGGGCCACACCCATTTCAGGAAAATCCCCATTTGGAGATTTTATTTTAGATAATAGTCTGAAAACAGTCCCCGAGAATTGCTAGAGTAGATAATGGTTTCTACCAAAAAATATCATAGCCCGCAGATAAGACACGAAAAATGTCTTATTTTTTTTGTGAACATGCCAACATCGCACATTTGGCGGTGCCCAGATCGCAAGGGTTTAATTGATTTTGTTCACGATGCGAGAGGTCGACAATGGTCAACATGTCGAAATCACATGGATTATCCATTGATCATCTGATGGTACATGATGGCCATCCAAAATAGCTCTACCATCCTATACCAAACTCATGACATGCGCGGAAAACCTGTCTGATCTGTCTGGGGGATGGTTGCCTCCCTGTAGGTCTTTCCAGTATCCTACCATACCAACAAGGTGCGGTGCTCGTTGGTTAAGTGGGAGACACATGGAGACACGATATTTTTCGTTTGATGATGTTATTGTTATATAATATACAGTATACATATCTACGTATTGTCCTTCTATTGTTAATTGGTATCTGAGTTTCTAGTTTCTCACCGTGGAGCTCACTTCCAGTGCCTGACTTTTCCATCCTGTTTTCATTCCCGGATGGCTCCAAGTTGTGGGGATCTCCAGGCGTGCTACGATCGCATGATGTTGGCTCTGAGTCAGAAGCTTCCTAAGATTCCGATGCTGACCCTTTGGCCAGGCGCAACGGGGTAGGCTGTTGGGGTAAATATGGGGTGCCAACGGTGCCAACCCACATCAGTTGAGACATACGTTCCTACATCTACAACTATGGTAACTATGGTCTATGGTGAAGTATGACCACCATTAATATCATTAATCAGTTCATGTCCCACATTCATCCCAAGTGGATTGTCGATTGCTTCAGGTTCCGTTTCCACTGAGCGGATGGTGCTGGGGAAGCGGCGTTTCGAAGGCGATGCGATCAGGGAAAAAAGTCAGAGATTAGACGGAGGGTTATTATTGCAATGATCCGTGGAAAAGCGGGATTTGTTTCATTGAAAATGTTGAAAATATCCAGTCTGTGAGTGTCATTTTATTTACCCACTTCAATTTGACAGGTGTGGATTCAAGACGATTCAAGTGTCTCAACGTTGAATCAGCTGTCTTGCTACAGTACATAGGGTCCCTAAAAAGATAGTAAAGTTTTTCATCTTTTCCAGGATGTTATAGATGATGTTAGATATGATAGATGATGATAGATGATGATAGATGATGATAGATCATGATAGATCATGATAGATCATGATAGATCATGATAGATCATGATAGATCATGATAGATCATGATAGATCATGATAGATCATGATAGATCATGATAGATGATGATAGATGGTGATAGATGATGATAGATGATGTAGATGATGATAGATGATGATAGATGATGATAGATGATGATAGATGTTATAGATGATGATAGATGATGATAGATGATGATAGATGATGATAGATGTTGTAGATGATGATAGATGATGATAGATGACGATAGATGTTATAGATGATGTGTTCCCCATAGTTTCCAGGTTTCCAACTCTTCAACCCGCCGCTTGCGGGTTGCTACCGCCGCGCCAGGTTGGCTTTTGGATGCCGAAAGTCCCAGCTTCACGGGGAAAGCAGTGCTCTGTTTGGCACGGCTCAGTGTTGAAGCCAGAATGCGAATGAGTGGCAGGAGCCATGGTTGGGATGCTTAAAACCAATGGTGATTGGATGGCCTTATATATGGTAGGTACCTCCAATTTAGGATCCTGGAATGGCCAGGAGGAGTAGATACTTGGGATGCATAGAAAACCAATGGTGATTTAAGGGATGCATCAACTTAATGAGCACAAACAAAAATTGAGCATCTATTGAATCTATTGGTTTGGGAATTGGGGACATAGATGTCCCAAATTCCCATTGGTTGGTTGATGAAAATAGAAGGGTTTGAAGAAACCCCTTGAACCACAGGTAAATGATGATAGATGGTATACCAAACCGGCCCCTCTATTTCTACCAAAAGGACATGATTGGCGGGAGCCTCCGACATGGCCGGGGGTCATACTTATGAGGTTTTAATGGTGATTGTTCAGCATGAACAATTGGGATTTTGCCGACAAACATGGTGATATATGGTGATACATTGGTAATACTGGAATATCATTCATACAGGAATTAGATTACCGATTTAGATGGGTTAATGGAGTTCGTTAGCTTTAGTGAATCTTTGGGTTCGTGGATTATGAACAAAAACGCCATGGCCCATTCCAACAAAACCAGGGGAGGTTTGCCACTCAAATGACCCTTGGTCCATGGCCCACTTTACAGAACACCAGGGCCTCCCTGCCCGCAATTTTGAAGGTTTCCTGTAAATGTCCCTTAAACCAATTCCTGAAAATATGGGCTGCTTTTTGTAGCTGGACCCAAATGAAGTTCTGGCTTGATCTTCACATGTCAGACGGTCCTGGAGTTGCCGAAGATGCCATTGGATTTTTCCCTATTTTGTGAATCTACCATTGCTGATTAAGATTAATATTTTTGTTGGTCAATGATTCTAACTTTGTTGGTGAAGTTCTTGAATTGTGCTGTTCCAACTATAAAATGTCATGTTGACTCAATTCCACATGTTTGTTGCTTAAGTTGCATCTTTGTTCGTCATGTTCCTCATGTTCGTCAACCTTTCAACATTGTCGTTTATACTGGGTCATACTCTACTGAACTCTACTGTCGTGTTTTTTGCTTACATTCCTCATGTTTGAAATCCCAACTTCGCAAGCGCGAAGCGCAAGCTTATTCTTGCTGGCTATATCACTGGTCAAATCCCCACGATCGTTGGTTAGTCTCCTGGTTAGTCCCCACTCAAAATGTGGTTGGTTAGTCCCCACTATTGCTGGTTAGTCTCCTGGTGAAATCCCTAGATTTCTTGGTTTTACCAGGTTGATTCGTTGCTTGCTCCGGTGCAGGACAATGACTTCTGCTGAGGCCAGGCCGTTTGGGAAAAAGTGGTGGGATTCGGCCAAGAAAGATTTGGCCTATCTTATCCAACAATGTAACTGGTTGGTGGTTTGGAACATTTTTTTATTTTTTCCATAGATTGGGAATAATCATCCCAGCTGACTAATATTTTCAGAGAGGTTGAGACCACCAACCAGATATAAAGGTGTCAATATATTGGGCATATCCAAAAATTGAAAAGCCTCAAAATGCGATGCAAAGAACTCGTTGAGGGCAATATGTCTGTATGTCTGGGGTGTCCATGTTGGATTCAGATGCCCAGCCATGCCTTGTTCACAACGCTTGGAGCACAAACCCCTCTCAACCGTGGAAGATCTTGGTGATAAGCTGCATTAACCCAACTTCAGCCACTAACCTCCAGATCTTCGACAGCATCAGCTGGGTGTGTTCTTGGAATTTTGTTGAGACGTTCAACCGTCAAAAGCTAGGTGATTTTGAGAGTTTGCTTCTCCCGCTCCACGTCCACCTTTGTTCCATCAATGATCCTCCCAGTTTGACTTGAACAGTGAAACGGCATGATTGTCAGCTATTTTACCCTTCTGTGAGTCACAAAATTTGCTGTACCATTTGAGAGGATTTGAGGCGTTGCTATTCTTGACTAGCGACTAGCGCAGGGTCATGATCGACCCACATGGATGAATCGATAGCAGTTCCAAAGGTGATCCGTAGCAGTGCTGTCAGCAGCCACCCTTCCAAGGTGCTATATTTGGCCGGCGGCTACGATGTGGATGGCTACAGCCACTGCCTCAACCGCACTAGAGCAGTGCAGAGCTTGTCAGCTCAAGAATCATGAAGAACAAAACAATGGAACCACAAATCAACTTTGGGCCAAGTTTAGTATAATAGTATTAAAAAATCTAGATTTGTTCATTGCCAAGTGTAGAGTATGAAAGCATCCAATAAATAAGGAGGGCATAGGGGGACCTTGACTCTTGACATACTCTGGTTATGTCAAAATAGCTATTGAAAATGGCCCATTTATAGTTGATTTACCTATTAAAAATAGTGAATTTCCATAGCTATGTTAGTTTACCAGAGGGTAGGTGTCAACAAAAAAGCCTATGTCATACTGCCGTGCTGAATGTCCTCAGCAGCAAGGACACGATGTGCCGCGGGAAAGCATCTTCCCAATCGCTCTGAGCTTCAGCCAGGGGGTGCAGGCACCTGCCAAGACAAGTGTCATTGCTTGATTGAGAAAATAATTCATAAGATATTGATTTCCTGAATTATCATTATTATCATTATTATTATTATTGTTATATTATTATATTATATATTGTTATTATTTATTATTCTTATTATTATTATTTATTATTATTATTTTTTTAATTTATTTTTGTTATTTATTATTATTGTTATTATATATTGCTATTAATATTTATATATATATATATAGATTCTTATGATTATTTTATAATGATATTTATATATATATTAATTATTTTTTTTAATATATTGTAATTTCGGATGGACACCTACATATTTCCGGATAATTTTGAAATTCTAGAGGTATTTATAATTTGGAATTAAATATTGGAAAATATATAGGAAAGGAAATAAATAAAAATTATTCTAAATTTTACAAGGGATTTTTTGTAAGGGTGTTAGTACAAATAAGTATAAATTAGCACATATATGGGAGCCGTCCGTAAAAGCAGGTCACAAATTTATGAATTGATGTGTTTACTTTGCTTTGCGCGATTGCTAAAACCTGCATCGCAATAGGCTGTTGGCGATTGGTTATACGACTACCACCCTATTACTACTACTACTATTACTACTACTACTACTACTACTTTTACTACTACTACTTTTACTACTAGTACTACTAATACTACTACTACTACTATTACTACTACTACTACTTTCGAGACCAGAACCATGCCAATAATTGACATGGCCGCGCGGATTCCGCCCGCGCGCGCAGAATCCGCGCAGATGTTTTCAGGTTAGAAGGACATTCAAGCTAGCTCCAATTGAAAACAGGTTAGAAACAGGTTAGAAACACCAAAAAGGCAGCACTTGCCTAGCATCCCATCCATCCATCTATCCATCCACCTCAGCTCTTATCATTGCTACTAATACTACTACTACTATTACTATTACTATTACTACTGCTACTACTGCTACTACTACTACTACTCCTATTACTACTCCTACTTCTACTCCTACTCCTACTCCAAACGCAACCTTTCTCTCTTTCTCCCTTGCCTATTCCCTCACCCTCCTACCAGAACTCCTACGCCTACTCCTATTCCAATTTCCACTACTGCTAGTGCTACTGCTAGTGCACTGAGTGTTTTCCGGACCGTTTCCGGACCGCACAAGGTTATTCACGAAAGGTGGCTCCAGAGGGGCTACCTTGAGTTTTACTTTACGAAGTAAAGGGGAGGGCGGCCAGCCCCGTTACCTGATTCTTCAGGAGATTGCTAGTCATTTTAGTACCCCCTC